TGGCCTCCTCCTTGGGGGGCTTGCGGGAATCTCGCGAGAGTTGTTTTGGGCTTCTGGTGGTCTTTGAGTACCTGTTGGGTTCTACTCTGCGCTTTTTCTTGATCCTCCAGCGCTTCCCTGGTCGCAGCCCTGAACCCCGCCTTCCAAATCATGTTCTGCAAGTTGCGAGAAGTCTAATTGTCGTAAGGCAATCACACAGGCATGGCAAGTTGCAAGTGAAGAGCGAAGTATCATCTTCCAGTTGCAGATTCAAGCACCACCACTTGTGGGATAAACAGGTCGATCATCATGCATACGCGAGTTTGTGCATGGTAAGGATGCAGGGCGCTCCGTGTGACAGGAAATCCAGACACAGCCCCACGTGAAGAATTGAACCGATCGCACGTGGTGTAGGGGTCCAACTGATAGTTCCGAATCCGCCGACCCCTTGGGGTCCCCGCTTCTGGAGCAGCACAAAAAGGGCAAGCACGACAGAGTGGGAGGCGAGTCCCTGGGCGCTGCGGGTTTCTTAGAGGCCCTCCTGGATCGTCGTGGGGCCCTTTTGGATCGTTCTGGAGCCCTGTGGGCTGTCTCGGGCACTGGCCGCCGCGAGGCTCTGCCGGGGGCTTCTTGGAGCGGTCTTGAGGCTTTCCTGGGAGCCTCTTGGGGCCGTCGGGCCGTCTCGGAGCTCTCTTGGGCTGTCTTGGGGCTATCTTGGGCCGTCTCGGGGCTCTCTTGGGCCGTGGGGTTTCTGGATTCGTTTTGAGACAATTTGGGGTGCCTTCTGGACCGTTATGGAGCCTTGGTGCACAAAAAACGCAAGCATGGCTAGACATGTACGTTTGATTCCAGGAATGGAGCGATTTGGTTTGTTTGGCGTTGGTTGGGGGCTCTTCGGGGCAACTTGGGAGGGTATTTCGGACCGTCTTGGGGCTACTTGGGGGCAGTGTTTTGGGGCAGTTTTGGGAATCTATTGAACTGTCGTGGAGCCATCTGAAGCCGTCTTGGAGCCCTCTTGGGCCGTCTTGGAACCGCATTGAACCTCTTTGGGGCCGTGTTGGGCGCCTGGGGTGGTCGAAGTTCGTTCGGTGGGGGGGGGGGCAGCCTTGTAAATAGGAGTTCGAGAATGGCGCTCGGCCCATCCCGCCACCGTGCCTGGGTTGTGGGTTAGGTCTCTAGGATGTTCGTTGGGATGTCGTGGGGGGCCTCTCGGGGGCCTCTTGGGTGCCGTTCTGATGCCTCTTGGGGGCCGTTTGGGGGCCTCTTGCGGCGTCGTGGGGGCCTCCTGGAGGCCTCTTGGGGCCTCTTGGGGGGCTCTTGGCGCTCCTGTTCGGCCTTCTGAAGGTTTTTTTGGACGGCAGACTCGGATGTTCGGTTCGTGTTCCTCCCCTTGGGGCTTTCTTCGGGCTCTCTTACGAAGGGTCGTCGCCTCGGGGGCGCGAATCTGGTGCAATTTGCAAGGCATCGCGGCTTCGGGAGCGCGAGTGCCTAACAAGTTCGGAGGGGTCGTCGCCGCGATGTGGCGATCCGGTGTAATCTAAAAAGGATCGTAGCATCCGGGGCGCGAATCTGTCATAATTTCCCAGGGGTCGTGGCCTCGGGGACGCGAGCGTGGCGCAATGTCGAAAAGATAGTGGCCACTGGAGCGCGAGTACAGTGTAATGTATGAGGAATCGTGGCATCGGGGGTGCGAGTGCGGTTCAATTTGCGAGGCATCGTGGTCTCGGTGGCGCGAGTTCGGCGGAGTGTCTGGTTGGGTCGTGACCTCGGGGGCACATCTTCAGCGTGACCAACCAGGGGTCGTGACACCAGGAGCGCGAATGTGGCGTAATTTGCCAGGGATCGTGGCCTCGGGGGCGCGACCGTAGTGCAATGTGCAACGTGATTTAAAAGGGGTTTTGGCCTCGGGGGGGCGACTGCGGCGCAATTTACGACGCATCGCCGTTTCGTGGGCGCGAATTTGTTGCGATGTGCGGGGGGGTCGTTGCCGCGGTGGGGCGAGCGTGACGTAAGTGTTTGGGATCGCGGTCCCAGGGGGCGCAAATCTTGTTTAATGTACGAAGGATCGTGGCCTCGGGGGCGCGAGCGCGGCGTGATTTACTAACAAAAATGGACTCGAAACCCACACTCTGGTACCACACTCAGGGGTTGAGATTTCGAGGATAACCTCAAGTCAAGCTGTTTTGCTGTTTTTTCCTCTGGCTTGTGAGACAGACGCGCGGGGCACCCCGGGAACATCCCAGAACTCTGGGATGTGGCCCCTTCAATGTTTTCATGATTATTGATACGCATAGGAAGAGAATCGAGGGGACCTGAGGACGATCCATTTCATGCCTCGAGGCACGATGCCTCGAGGCACGGTGGCACCCTCCTCCCCCAAACGCCATCAAGTTCGAGGAGGTGCGACTGCTAGAGCGGCTGCGAGGGAAGGTCAGCCTTGCCACTCTCGCCCTCAGCCAAGCCCAGACCCCCTGAGGCTTATTGCGTGCTTTGAACTCTATTTCGTCTGCACAGCTGGTTCACCGTCTAGCCTCGCCGGAAGCAAGCATTATATATTGGTATCTATATATATATACACATACACATACATAAACATGTATATGCAGATGGGCACGAAACAATCAAGGACAATTTTTGTTTCTGCGGGTGGGTCCCCAGGAAGCCCCCCGCCGACCTTCTCGATCCCATCCCCAGAGCCATTCCTTCGCCCAGGGTCGTTCCCTGACAGGCCCAAGAGAACCCCCCCTGAGGCCCAAGCTGTAAAGACAACGTTCGGCCGTGTTCTTGTCGGCGCTGTGTTGTGCCACGATACTTGAAGGTCTGGGGCTGGTCACGTATCCGACCAGCACCGTGACCAGAACCCTCGAGCCCCTCGTGACCCACTGCAACCCTGCCTCTGATAACAAAGTCACTAGTAGGACACCTGCGGGACAGCAGCCGGCCGACAAGCTGCATGGACGAATAGCTGTCAGAGGGCTCGACGGGCAACCTCGCAGGGCGGTAGCGATAGCACAGACCGAGAAACATCGGCACACGAGCCTTACGCGTGGTCAAGACTCGGGAGTGATCAGAGGGCCCGATGGGCAACCTCACCGTTAAGCCACACCGCTCCACCGGACCTGCCAAACGCACACGAATCCGGCGACGGTTTCGCAGTTGGCAGCCCGCACTAGCAGCGGACTCTCTGGGAACAGGAAGCCGTTTCTGTTCTTGGAGCCTTGGGGGCGCCAAAATGGACCCGAGGAACTATGCGGACGTTACTACTGGGGCCTTCGGTTGACCTCCCTGTGAGGCCACGAAACGTGTGAGGGGTGTGCCCGATTGGGCCCGAGTAGCCATGCGGACGCAGCCAATTGGGCCTTCGGTGGAGCTCGCTGTGGGGCAAGGAAACGTGCGAAGGGGTGTACCAGAATGGGCCCGGGTAACCATGCGAACGCTACCACTTGGGACCTTCGGTGGAGCTCACTATGGGGCTACGAAGTGTGTGAGAGGTGTGCCCGATTGGGCACGAATAGCCATGCGGACGCAGCTAATTGAGCCTTCGGTGGAGCTCGCTGTGGGGCCACGAAGCGTATGAGGGGTGTGCCAGCATGGTTCCGAGTAGCCATGCGGACGCTACCACTTGGGACCTTCGGTGGACCTCCCTGTGGGGCCACGAAACGTGTGAGTGGTATGCCAGCATGGGCCCGAGTAACCATACAGACGCTACAACTCGGGCCTTCGATGAAACTCACTATGGGGTCACGAAGCGTGTGAGGGGTGTGCCCGATTGGGCCCGCATAGCTATGCGAACGCTACCACTTGGGCCTTCGGTGGAGCTCGCTGTAGGGCCACGAAACGTGTGAGGGGTGTGCCCGCTTGGGCCCGAGTAGCCATGCGGACGTAGCCACTTCGGCCTTCGGTGGAGCTCGCTGTGGGGCCACGAAGCGTATGAGGGGTGTGCCAGCATGGTTCCAAGTAGCCATGCGGACGCTACCACTTGGGTCGTCGGTGGAGCTCCGGAACGATGATGATGTTATTGGGGATGGTGATGATGGACATAGTTTGGTGATAATGGTGGTTATGATGGATGATGCTGATGCTGATGCTGATGCTGATGCTGATGCTGATGCTGATGCTGATGCTGATGCTGATGCTGATGCTGCTGATGATGATGCGGATGATGATGACGATGATGATGATGATGATGACGATGCTGATGATGATGATGATGATGGTGATGCTGGTGATGATGTTGCTGCTGCTGATGATAATGATGATGGAGATGTTGCTGATGATGATGATGTTGATGCTGATGCTGATGCTGCTGATGATGATAGTGATGGTGATGATGATGGTGATGGTGATGGTGATGGTGATGGTGATGGTGATGGTGATGATGGTGATGATGATGATGCTGATGCTGCTGATGATGATGATGCTGATGATGATGATGGTGGTGGTGGTGATGATGATGATGATGCTGATGCTGATGATGCTGATGCTGATGATGATGCTGATGATGATGGTGGTGGTGGTGATGATGATGATGATGAAGATGACGATGGTGATGATGCTGCTGATGATGATTATTATGATGATGATGGTGGTGGTGGTGATGATGATGATGATAGCGATGATGATGATGATGATGATGATGATGATGATGATGATGATGATGATGATGATGATGATGATGATGATGATAATGATGATGATGATGATGATGATGACGATGATGATGATGATGATGGTGGTGGTGGTGGTGTTGGTGATGATGATGGTGGTGGTCGGAGTGATGATAATGATGATGTTGTTGATGATGATGCTAATAACGAGGACGAGGAAGAGGACAGGAGGAAAGAGGGGGAGAAGGAGGGAGGAGGAGAAGGAGACGCGTGGCGCTGAGAATTCAGAACGAGAGCCTCACACACAGGAGTGCCGTGACAAAAATCATTGGCCATCTCGGGCCCGCCGCCTAGCCGCCCCGCGCCAGCGCGGCCCCTCCGGCGCCCCCCCAGGGCGGAGCCGCCGCCGCCGCCATGTGGTTGTGGTCGTGCGCGGGCGGGGAGTGCGCGGAGCAGGGCGGAGGCGATCATCGCTCCCCCTCCTCCCCCTCGTCCTCCTCCTTCCCTCCCTCCCTCGCTTCCTCCAACCCTCCCTCCACCTCCTCCCCACTCCTCCTTCCTCCTCCTTCTCCTCCCTCCTCATCCTCTCATCCTCCTTCTCCTCGTCCTCCGCCTCCCTCCTTCGCCCTCGTCGTCCTCCTCCCCCTCTTCCTGCACCCTCCGCCTCCTCCTCCTCCTCCTCCTCATCCTTATTCCCCTCATCATCGTCCTCTCATCTTCCCCTCATTGTCATCTTCCTTTTCCTCATCCATCCTGCAGCCCCTCTTCTTCGTATTCGTATCCGTGCTCTTTTGATTTTCGTGTAGCAGACCTTGTCTTCTTCTCTTGGCTGGTATCATTATATGTTTAACTAGTCGTTGTTGTTGTTCTCATGATTTGTTCCTCCCTGCCTCCCTCCCTCACCTGCCTCTTCCGTCTTCCTCCTCGTCCAGCCCTGGAGGTTCGAGAATCGAGGTGTTCGGCGTTTGGGGGAAACTCTTGGGGACCCCTGAAGGACCTGCAGAGACCACATGGGACTTCTAGTGGGCATCAGGAGAACTCGGGAGACCTCCCTCTCCTGCTCCCCCTCCTCCTTCTCCTCCTCCTCCTCCTTCTCCTCCTCCTCCTCCTCAAGCCGCTGTTCCTCCTCCTCCTCCTCCTCAATTGCCTCTTCAACTGCATCTCCCCACCCCCGACTTTCCCGTAGGCCTCTCCCCCCACCCCCGACTTTCCCGTAGGCCTCTCCGAAGATCGCGCCGCATATCGCCGATGCGGCTCGATGCGGAGCCCGATTTGCTTCACGCCGACGTCGCCGATGCACCGCCGACGTCGACGATGCTTCGCTGGTGCGTCGCCGATGCATCGCCGATGCATCGGCGATGCGACCCCATCTACTCCGACCCCATCTAGGAGGCTTCTATGTTCGACGAAAAATGAAGCCGCTCAGAAAAGGAGGCTAATCCTGGGATGCGCCCCGATGGGGGCCATTCGGACTCACCCCTGTCGATGATGGGCGCCCCCCATCTTACATGCCAGGGTTGGGCCCCAAATGTTTGTCCAGTCGAAAGTCGAAAGCCTCCCAAAGCCTGGGATTGGGGTCGACACATCCCCTGTTTCGGGGGATCGATCTTTGGTGACCTCGGCAGGCGGCGACCATGGATATAGTTTGCCCCCCCTGGGGCCTTTTTGTTTCTACGTGTCCATCGCAGGGCTGGACCTAAACGCTATTTTGCTGGACTTCGGCTGTGTTTTGCTTTTCGTCTTGGCAGGGAGGTACAGGAAAACAGGTAGAGCAAAACGAACACAACTGAAAACAACGTTTAGGTCCAGCCCTGATCCATCGCCGTGGTACCAGGACGTCGATTCCCCAGGCGGTGGATGGTCCTTGTGTGGGTTCGTGCATCGCACTGCCCGCCTTCCTGGGAAAAGGCAGGCGCTCTCGGGAGCCTCTGGGTACGGTGAGCATCCGTAGCAAGGACGGGTAGTCTTCCCAAGGGCACCCTTGCGTCCTTCGATTTGTTCGGCAGCGCGCCGCTAGAAAAGCTGCAACTGGGGCATCCAAGGATCGTCCAAGGGCCTTGCGTCCTCACAGCGCGTCCTCACTGCAGAGTTTTGACTGCATGGGGCGATACCCCGTCTTGGGGGGGCCTAATTACCCCCCCCGCCCCCGCTCCTTGCTGCGCGCCGCCGCTCCAAGGCGAGTTGTAAGTCGGGCATGTCCCCCTACAGGAGGAACATGCAAACATAGTAAAACAAGTGAGTCTGGGGACGATGTTTCACTTCTTTTTTGGCAGTGCTTGAGTATTTGTTCCCTACCTAGGCTCTGCCGAGAGGGTTCTTACCCTATATCTTAAAGGGGCCGGGCAGTGCAACACGCCCCGGGCGGTGCCCCCGGCATCCGCCCCGCGGTTTCCCCAGTTACGTATCCTTAGCTTCGCTTTGCTTATCTCATCTTAGCTTATCGTATTTCATCTTAGTTGAGTTTAGCTTCATCTTAGCTCAGAATTATCTTAGCTTAGCTTATCTTCATCTTAGCTTAGCTTAGCTTAGCTTAGCCGTGCCTAGCCTAGCTTTGATTAGCTCAGCTTTGCTTAGATTTGCTTAGCTTAGCTTAGTTTATCGCATCTTAGCTTAGCTCAGCTTAGCTTAGCTTAGCTTGGCTTGGCTTAGCTTAGCATAGCTTAGCTTAGCCTAGCCTAGCTTAGCTTAGCATAGCTTAGCTTACCTTAGCGTAGCGCAGCGCAGCGCAAGCGTAGCGCAGCGCAGCATGAGCACAGCATAGCATAGCATAGCACAGCCAAGCATAGCATATCATAGCATAGCATAGCTCAGCATAGCATAGCACAGCATAGCATAGCATAGCAGAGCGCAGCATAGCACAGTATAGCAGATCATAACATTGCTTAGCATAGCACAGCGCAGCATAGCATAGCACAGCACAGCATAGCATAGCATAGCATAGCATATCATAATATAGCGCAGCATAGCATAGCATAGATGAGGATGTAGGTGTAAATGTAGATGTAGATGCAGATGTCGGTGTAGATGTAGGTGTAGATGTAATTGCAGATGTGAGTCTCGCTGTTGATGTTGATGTAGATGTAGATGCAGGTGTAGATGTAAATGTAGCTGCCGGTGTAGATGTAGATGTTGCTTTCCTAAATGCTCGGTCGGACTGGGATACTTCATTCCTATTTCGTTATCTAAATAATTAAAAAATAGTCCAAAATCTGCCTGTAGGGGGACATGCCCGACCTAAGGCGAGTTTGGAGAGCTCCAGATCAACCTCAGCAGCGACGGCGGCACGGAGCAGAAGAGGCCGCCAGCGGCCTACAAGGAGGAGAGCATGCTCATGCGCGGGGACTCCTTCGACATCACGTTCACCCCGAGGACGTTTGCGATCGGCGGCGAGGACACGAGCGTGTGGTCTTCCCACGGCGTTCCAGCCACCCCGCGTCGGCGCGCTGGTGCGGAGGGGCTAGACCTTCCGATACTGAGGGAGTACCGGGTACCGCCGAACTGTAACAAGGAGGACCCCGTGGAGGTCCAGAGAGCAGCCCTGTTGCACATGTACCAGGCGTTCGCGGTGGATCTCCACGCGGGAATGTACTTGACGCAGCTCACGTCCAGCAGGGAGCATTCCGAGATCCATGTCCAGCTGATGGACGACCTGGTGACCCTGAAGATGGACCAGAGCAACGGCCACATCTTGGAGTTCCCACTGGACAAGGTGCTGAAGGTGTACCGGATTACCCACGACGCGAGAGGAGCCGGTCTCGATGACCAGGCCGCGCACATTGTGGTGCTGGAGTTCATGCGCCGAAAGCTCGCCTTCGTCTTCCCGGAGGAGAAGGTTCGAGTAGGGGATCGACTACAAAATGGATTTACCCGATAGTTGACTTTCTCGTCGAATATTCACAAATACGTGGGGTACGCGTAGATGTACGAGAATTGCAAGTTGTTCTGTCGATTCGACGAGAAAAATGTGGGGCAATTGTATTTTGTGGTCGATCCCTCTCGGAAGGTCACGCAGCGTTTCCTCATCTCGCTGGAGCTGCTGATCCAGAGGGCGAAGCAGCACGCAAAGGTGCAGAGGCCCGCGCTCACCCCCGCGCTCCCGCAGGGGCCGCAGCAGTCGGTCCATACCTGGCCAGCCGACGCGCTGGTGGCACTCAAAGGAGAAAAGCAAATACCCATGCCGCTACCCTTCCCTCGCTTTCCCCCTCTGTGGGCCTCCTGGGGGGGTCCTCGTCGCCACGGCTGGATCCGCCTCGAGGTGATGGTCAGAGCGCACCCCGGGAGAGGCCTGGGGAGCAGCGGTATCGTACCATTTGGTTTCCCCAGGCACAGTGTCCAAGCCCGTCGCCCAGGGGTCATCGAAACGGCTTCGCCCTCAGACGCCAGCCACCCGCCTGATGGACACGGGCGCTGGGGGGGAAGCGGCGTGGAAAGCGTCCCTGGGCACTGTCGTGGGCAGCCTCGCGCTTCCTCATACAGGATCTGGCCGCATTGGAGCAGCCTGGGGCCATCCCGGGCCTTTCTCCTGCCGTGTTGGGGCAGCTTTGAGGCAATTTCGGGCGAGAGTTGGACCATGTGTGGGCTTCCTCCTTGAACCGTGGGGCATGTACGAACCATCGTGGGGCCAGCTGGGGCGGTGTTGGCCATCTGGTGGCCCGTTGTCCATTTCCGGGTCTCCTGGGGTCATCTTGGGGCCCTGTTGGAATACGTTTCGTTTTACAAGCTTGACGGAACCTGGGCGGCACCTGGGCGGCAATTTTGGGGCGATGCTGAAAGAGATTTAGCCATTTGGAAAATTATGGAGGCTGTCTTCAAGCCACTTTGAGGCCTCTTGGGCGCTAAACAGGCGGCGGGCAAGAACCAATGACAACTTTTCCTGGACTGCACAAAATCGGAGGTCACCTTGGAGGTCACGGGAGGCTTAGAACGATTCGATGAGACCTTCGGAGCCCTCGAGAGGTGTTTGGAACTCTGGGAGGCGTTTGTGAGCCCCCAGCGGGCCCTGGGAGGCCTTCGGAGGCCCCGAAAGACCGTGGGGCGCCCCAGTGGGGGCTCCTGGCTCCCAGCGGTGAGAGCACGGACGGCTACGGGGCGGTCGGACAGGGCCTCTGGGTCTGAGCAGAGGGCGCGCGCAGCAAGAGTACAGGCCCGAGGTATGGGCGTCATGCCTCCTCGTTTGCAGGGAGAGGCATGCCACACACACACACACACGACCGATACTGCGACCATCCCGGGGCCTGAGCAAGCACGTCAGGTTGCCATGGGTCCCCACGTGCAGCAGAGACTCACACGCACTTTTTTGGCCAGCGGCCACTCGAGTCCAAGCAGCGTTCGAGCGCCGGCGGGGCCAAAGACTTGCGTGCACGTGCTGCCCATGAGAAGCCAGCCTCGCAGCCAGGCGGCCCCGCGCGGAGAGGGGGCTGGCGGGTTCGTAATTCGGTGATCTCGCAGCACCGCTGTCCGGGGTGTTGAGAATTTTCCCTTCATTGTGCGGTAGTCTGCTGGCGCGCGGATTGGGGGCAAAGCTGGCTCTGGAGGGGTACCCTTTGTTCCAGGGCTCGACCTGAACCGTATTTTGGCGATCTCGTGGTCCGTTCTCTTTCTGACCTCGTCCTGCAGCAGAGGCGGAACGAGGACAGAGCGGGTGGAAACGAAGACAAAGCGAGAGCGAAAAGCACTGCTTGGGTCGATCCCTGCTTCGTTACCCGCCGGTCGTTGGCAGTAGGGAACTTTTTGGATTCCCGGATTCCCATCTGCGCCAGGCGCCTTCCTACTTCGATGATCGAGTGGCTTCACCCTTTCCGTCCTCCGCAGGGGGTCGGGCGGACGCCTCGTCTACTTTCCACACCCTCCCTGCCTCGATGATCGAGGCGCCTTCCTACGTCGATGATCGAGTGGCGTCACCCTCTCCGTCTCCTCTGCAGGGGGGGGGGCGGCGGACGCCTCGTCTGCTTTCCGTGCCTTCCCGCCTCCGACCGGCGGGTAAGCACCACGGTTGGGCCCTCCACCCGGGAGGGTGGCCTTCGCTCGGGGTGCCTCCACGGGGCCTCGGGCCTCCGGCGCAGCGTGGTCTCTCTCTCTCTCTCTCTCTCTCTCTCTCTCTCTTTACATGTGTATATATACTTATGCATAGATCTCTCTCTCTCTCGCTCTCTCTCTCTCTCTCTCTCTCTCTCTCTCTCTCTTTACATGTATATATATATATACATACACAGATATATCTCGGAGTAGGCCGGGAGGGGGGCCCGGGCTGGTGCCGTCATCCCCCATGGGCGCCCCCCGGAACCTTTGGGGGGTCACAGACCCCCCCGGGACTGCCCCAGGCCCCTTCCAAATTGCCCACGACAGGCCACGCGGGCCGTACAGATGGTCAAGGAAGCCTCAAGAGGCCCCGAAGACGCCCAAGAGCGCCCCAAGAGGGCCCGAGATGTCTTGAAGATGGCCGACGAGGGCCCCAAGAGGGCCTTCAAGATACAAAAATTCATTTATTCCCCCAGTAAAACGTACATTTTCAGCATATTCACTGGCTTCGTCTTCACAGTGCCCCAGATGCCTCCGCGGAGCCCCAACACAGCCCAAGAGAGACGGCCCAAAAGGGTCCCAGACGGCCCAAAAGGGTCCCAGACGGCCCAAAAGGGTCGGCCTGTGGGGCTCACAGAACCTCCCGAGACGGACCAAGAAGCGCCACAGCCGGCCCAGGAGGCCCCCAAGACGGCCTCAGGGAGGCCCAAGAGGGCCTCGGACGAAATCAGGTTCCCCGAAGCATCTCCGGGAACATGATTTCCGGTTTCCGAGGACGCCCAAGAGGCCCACAAGACAGCCTCAGCGAGGCCCCAGAGGGCCCGAGATGGCTTCAAGATGGCCGAAGGGGGCCCCAAGAGGGCCTTCAAGAGGCAAACATCGGCCCATTCCCGTAGTAAAACGTACATATCCAGCATACTCCCTTGCTTCGTCGTCGCAGTGCCCCAGACGCTCCCGAGGAGCCCCAAGACAGCCCAAGAGAGACCCAAGAGGGCCCAAGACGGCCCAAAAGGGTCGTCCTGTGGGGCTGACGGAACCTCAAGACGGCCCAAGAGGCCCCAAAGCCAGCCCAGGAGGCCCCCAAGACGGCCTCAGGGAGGCCCAAGAGGGCCCCGTTCGAAATCATGTTCCCGGAAGCCTCTCCGGGAACATGACTTCCGGGATCCCAGGACTTCCAAAGGCAGCCCCCAGAGGCCCCGGACACGCCGAAGATGGCCTCAGGACGGCCGACCCAAACGCCCCAAGAGCGCCTCCAGAGGCACCTCCAAAGGGCCCCAGAAGCCGAAAATCATACATTTTCCAATGGTTGTTGAAGCATTCTTGCGCTCTCCCATGTTCTGCCTCCCCACGGTCCCGGACCGCGTTAGAGGCCCTTCAGATCGCTCCAAGACGGCCGAAGAGGCTCCCAAGAAAGCCCAGAGACGGCCCAGGAGGCTCCCCAGATAAGTCAAGAGGGCCTCGAGAGCGCCCCAAGAGAGCTCTAAGAGCGACCAAAGAGGGCCCGAAGAGCGCGACATTTCAAGGTCTCTGGCCTGAGAGGCTCCTAGGACGCCCCCAGAGGCCATCAAGAGGCTCCCAAGAAGCCCCGTGAGGCTCCCAAGAGGCCCCCCGGAAGCCCCAATAGGCCCCCAAGTGGCCCCCAGGGAAGCCCCCTGCGGGCCCCCAAGACACTTTGGTAAATCGTATTTCCCAGATAGCTTTCCGGGAGCATGATTCCTTGGGGTTCCGCCCACCGCCCCAACCATGTTTCCAATAGGCTTGCCGACAAGGCCAAAAGGCGCCCCTCGGTAAGCCCCCAGATGCCCCCCTCTTAGAGAGCCGAACGAATCATGCTCCCGCAAAGCTTCCCGGGAACATGATTCTCTATCTCGGAGTAGGCCCCGGGGGGGGGGCGGGCCGCTGCCTGTTTCCCCCATTGGCGCCCACCGGGGGTTGCGGGGGGGGGTCCAGAGCTCCCGAGGCGGCCCGAGCCCGCCCCGAAGCAGGCCACGACGGGGTAAGGGGGTCCCGAGAGGGCCCAAGACGGTCCCACAAGGCCCTGAACACACCCAAGATGCCTTCAAGACAGCCGACGAGGACTCCAACACGCTCCAGGACGGATTCAAGAGGCTCCCCAAGAGGGCCCTGGAAGGCAAGATTCGCTCGTTTTCCGAGTGTTTGGGATTTTGGCGTTCTCGCTTTTCCCGCTTTCCAGCGCTCCCTCACGGCCTCGGAGGCCCTTCAGATCGCTCCAAGACGGGCCACGAGGCCCCGACGAGGGCCCCAAGACGGCCCAGGATTCTCCCCAGACAACCCAAGTGTGCCCCAAGAGCGCGCCAAGAGAAGGCCCAGAGGGTCCCGAGGCGGCCCGGGCCCGCCCCGAAGCAGGCCACGTCCCAAGAGGCCCCGAAGGCGCCCAAGCTGCCCTCAAGACGGCCGACGAGGACTCCAACACGCTCCAGGACGGACTCAAGAGGCTCCCCAAGAGGGCCCTGGAAGGCAAGATTCGCTCGTTTTCCGAGTGTTTGGGATTTTGGCGTTCTCGCTTTTCCCGCTTTCCAGCGCTCCCTCACGGCCTCGGAGGCCCTTCAGATCGCTCCAAGACGGGCCACGAGGCCCCGACGAGGGCCCCAAGACGGCCCAGGATTCTCCCCAGACAACCCAAGTGTGCCCCAAGAGCGCGCCAAGAGAAGGCCCAGAGGGTCCCGAGGCGGCCCGGGCCCGCCCCGAAGCAGGCCACGTCCCAAGAGGCCCCGAAGGCGCCCAAGCTGCCCTCAAGACAGCCGACGAGGACTCCAACACGCTCCAGGACGGACTCAAGAGGCTCCCCAAGAGGCAAGATTCATTAACTGTCCTATGGTTTTTGAAGGATTTAGGCGTTCTCGCTTCCCCCGCTTCCCAGCGCTCCCTCACGGCCTCGCTCGGAGGCCCTTCAGATCGCTCCAAGACGGGCCACGCGGCCCCGAAGAGAGCCCCAAGACGGCCCAGGAGGCTCCCCAGACAACACAGTTGTGCCCCAAGAGTTCCCCAAGAGAGGGCCCAGAGGGGGACCGCCAACCGATATTTCGAAGTCTCTGGCCCTAGGGACCGCCTGTAGGCCCCCGGAGGCCACCAAGAGGCTCCCACGAAGCCCCGTGAGGCGCCCAAGAGGCCCCCAGGAAGCCCCAAGAGACCCCCCCAGGGAACGCCCAAGAGGCCCCCCAACACACCCTAAGAAATCATGTCCCCAGAAAACCGTCCGGGAACATGGTTCATCATGGGCCCGAGAGTTCCCGGAGACCCCCAAGGGGCCCCTAGGGAACGCCCAAGAGACCTCCCAACACACCCCAACAAACCATGTCCCCAGAAAGCCTTCCGGGGACATGGTTCATCATGGGCCCGCGAGTCTCCGGAGGCTTCGGAGTGCCATCATGCTACAGGAGAGCTGTCTGGGAAGTTGATTGAGAACATGACTGATCGCCTTCTCGCGGCCCTCCGCAGATCGTTTCGCACAAAGTTGCCCCAAATGCCCTCTTGAACCGACGACGACGACGACGACAAGACGATGACGACGGCGACGACGGCGACGACGACGACGACGACGACGACGACGACGACGACGACGACGACGACGACGGCGCGCCCCAATAGGCGACGACGACAATACGACGACGACGACGGCACGCCCCAACAGGCTCTCCAAGACGCCCCATTACCCATGCTCCCAGAAGACCTTTGGGAACCCGATTCATACGGCCTCCGCCCCCCTACAAAACCATTTTCCTCGAAGGCCTTTCGGAATGCAGATTGGCATGCGTAGATTGTGTTCCACTACTTCAGTGGAGCAATGATGCGTCAAGGCCTGAGGCCTGCTAGAACCATCGCGCGCGTTGATTCTAGTGTATATATACATAGAAATGTATATACATACGTGTCTGTGTACATATGTGTGTATAGATACAGATGTATGTAGATGTATATATATATGTGCACAAGACTGCAATGGCGCTTCGCGCCATGCACCTTGGTCCTTGAAGTTTGGTATGCAGGCGGAATAGCAGGAAGGTCAAGCCGACAATTTAGCAATAACTCCTTGTTGCCTTTTCTGGCATCGCCGCTATAATAATGTTATTCGTTGTCCTTCCTCCATGCTTCTTTTTCTTAATTTTCGCCATACCCTGCGCATTCTCCCTATCCTCCTCAGCTCATTTTTGCGGAGGCTCCTCCTTGGAGAGCCTCTGGGGACCTCACAAAAGTTGTTTCAGGCCTTCTGGAGGCCTTCTGGAGGCCTCCTGGGCGTATTCTGGGGGCATCTCGGGGCTTCCTCGGGCCACTCTGCCTCCAACCGCGGTCTCCCTGAACGACCGGGTCACGATTTGGAATGCTTCGGAGGGTGTCTTGGGGCCATCTTGGGCCGCCATGGGGCTCTCTGAGGGCAATCTTGGACCCGTGTTCTCTTGGACTGCCTGGAAGCCTTTTCGGATGGTTGTGGG